ACGGAGCAGAGCTCTAAAGCAGACAGCTAAAAACAGGAGACGTCTTGGAGTTCTGTGTTTAGTCTCTGTAGTTTTTCATCGTACGTCATGACAGGTTGCTTAGTGATTACAAAAGAATGGTTTCTTCTCCATTTGCTCCCCTCCAACCTCAGTAAATTGATGTTCCAGAGATATATTTTAGGTTTATTTCACGGCTCTATGTGCCCTAGACAAACCACTAAGTACCCCCAAGGTGTACACTTACCATTTTGAAAAAGGGGGCCTTAGGGGATTCAGAGCCTCCTAATCGCACCTTTTAGGGCTGTAGGCTTTAGATTGATCTGGGTCTGGATCCATCCAGGTAAGTCACATGTCTGGTTTTGGGTGTTCTCTCTAAATTATCTGCCCTCTATTAGGACGCATGACTCTGGGCCTCGCTGCTCTCTCATATCCACCTATCTATCACTTGACTAACACTTGGGCTTCCATTTGCTAAGCCATCCACTTTGTCCTTAACCCTTCCAATTGGATTTACTTTCGCCAATGTTTGTGTAAATGCCTTTAGTGCTTTCCTGCTAACTCTGTTGGCTTTTTCTTTTTCTGTTAGATTTCAGCCTTCTCCATCTTTCAGCATTTCCGCTATTGATGGTGAACCATTTTTCTCAGGCCATTTAGGGCAGGTGATGCTGTGCTCGTAGTACCTCGGTGGCTTCCAGCAACAGAGCTTTATTTCTCGCTCATGAAAATATGAGTGGTGGTCGTGCTTCAAGTTCTCTTCCCTCTATGATCCAGTCTGGAGAAGCAACACCTATCTGGAATGTTACAGGCCTCGGGGTAGAGGGGAAAGAAACGGTAGGACTGTGTGATGACTCTGACACCTGCTCAGGAGTAGGACGTGCCACTTGTGCTCCCATCGAATTGGCCATGTCCCGCAGCCAAGGCCGGTGTTGATGGACTGGAAGTGTAATCTTCCCCCAAATCAGGTCTGGTAAGGAGGTGTAAATTCGACAGTAATACAGTCTCCCACAGCCTTATCTTTTCAGCTTATATACTCAGAATCTGACACAGTGCTTGTCATATAATAGATATCAATGTGGGAAAGACCTACTTCTTTCTTCCCCAAATTCTTTTTGTGGTGGTGTTAGAGATGTTGGACTATCTGCACCTGTTTCTTCCCTGGATCCCCTTCATCCTCTACATTTATGCACGTGTTGACCATCAATATTTTCTTTTCTTTTTTTTTTTAATATATGAAATTTATTGTCAAATTGGTTTCCATACAACATCCAGTGCTCATCCCAAAAGTTGCCCTCACACCTCAATACCATCACCCGCCCCCTCCCTCCACCCCATCAACCACCCTCAGTTTGATTTCTCACCCAAGGTCTCTCTTCTTATGCTTTTGTTTTCTCTCTCCCACTCTAACCTCTTTTTTTTTTCCTTCCCCTCCTCCATGCATGTGGGTTTCTGTTAAGTTTCTCCGGGGATCCACATGAGTGAAAACATATAATTTTGTCTCTCTTTCATGGCCATTTCTAACCCAGCATCACACTCTCCAGTTCCATCCACGTTGCTACCAAAAAAGGGCCATATTTCACGTTCTTTCTCATTGCCATGTCTCCATTGTGTGTATATAAACCACAATTTCTTTTTTTTTTTTTTTCTTAGGTATTTATTTTGGGACAGAGAGACCAGGCATGAGCAGAGGGGGAGGCAGAGAAAGGAGACTTTCTGAGAATGTGGAGGCTGCAGCTCAGGCTCTGAGCCATCAGCCAATCCCAAACTGTGTGAGGCCTCGAACACTCGAACCTCAGTCATTGAGGCTTACAATGAAGTGTTGGACCGGCTCTCGCCACCGGCACCAAACCACAATTCCCCTGTCTGCTTTTATCCATTCATCAGTTGATGGACATTTCAGCTCTTTTTCAATCTGTTTTTACTACTTTCAGTGGCTGCTTTCCAATTTGCATTCCCACCAACAGTGCCAAGGGTTTCCCTGCTCCACATCTCTCCAGCATCTATAGTCTCCTGATTTGTTCATTTTGGCCACTCTGTTGACTGAGAAAAAGTGGGGTGATATCTGAGTGTGATGTAAAAGGTCATGTATGCTGAAAACTAAGCTAAAGCTTTATGAGGCCAATTGAAGAAGAGATATAAAAGAAATGGAAGAAGACCTTCCCTGGTCATGGATTGGACTTGGATGAAAGAATAAATATTCAAAATGTCAATACTTTACCCAAGCTATCTACACATTCAATTACAGTCCCAATCAAAAATTGCACCAACATTATTCTGAGAACTAGAACAAACAGTTACAAATTCATATGGAACCACAAAGGCCCGAATAGCCAAAGTAATTTTGAAGACAGGCATCACAATCCCAGACTTTGTACACTACTACAAGCTGTGTGTCATGAAGACAGCATGGTATTGTACAAACAGACACATAGACCAATGGAATAGAATGACAAACCCCCCCAGAACTAGACAACCCCACAAACGTAGCCGCTCATCTTTGACAAAGCAGGAAAAAACATCCAATGGGAAAAAAAGACAGTCTCTTTAACAAATGGTGCTGGGAGGAGCAGGACTGACAGCAACATGCAGAAGGGTTAAACTAGACCACTGCTCTCACACCAAAGGCATTCACAGAAACAAAACTCAAAATGGATAAAGGCCTGAATGTGGAGACAGGGAGAGCTCACATCAAAACCCTAGAGGAGAAAGCAGGAAAAAGACCTCTCTGACCTCAGCCAATACATGATAAATCTTACTCACATCCCAAAGGCAAGCAAGGGGGGAATTAAAAACAAAATGAATTACTGGGACCTTATGAGAGAGATAAAGCTTCAACAGCAAGAAAACAATAACAAAACTAAAGAGCAACCAGCGAATGGGAAAAAGACTTTATTTTACCAAATGACATATGGGACAAGGGCTAGTATCAAAAATCTAAGAGCTCACCCAAACTCCACACTAAAAACAAATAACCCACAGTGAAGAAAATGGAAAACATGAATAGACACTTGCTATACTCTAAAGAGAAGACATCGGATGGCCAACAGGCATGAAAAGATGCTCAACGTCACTCCTCATCAGGGAAATACAAATCAAGACCATCAATATTTTCTTTTCATTCTCCTCACCCATTCCCCATAGTTTTCCACTCTAATCTTTGATGTTTTGGAAATCCAGAAAGGTGTTTTTTTTCGTTTTGATCTAGCTTATGGCAGTTTGCCTTCATAGGATGTTTCTGAATGGTTCAACAGGAGAAGGGAAACTTAAGAGTTTTCATTTTAAACCATATTGAGACACCATGCATACTATACCATATAGGAGAATGTTCTCATGCATAAGCCCTTTTCAGATAGCCATAGTCTTAAACATTCCTTTCCACGGTTGCTTTGTATTAATTACTATCTATCTTTACACATGATGGGCATTTTGTCTTTACTTTGTACTCCCAAATATTTTGAATGGTTACTGCAGAGCTAAATGTAACCTGCTTTGGAATGCAATTTTTATTTCAATACTTTGGTTCCTCCGCTAGACTGCAATCATTGAAGGAAGTAGGGTTTTTTCCCCTTTTTACTTCCTCCCCTCCCCACATTTTTTTTTTTTTTTGCTATACGCTAACCAACACATGCTTGCTGAATTGAATGTGGTTATGATAGTTGCTGTATTTTTAACTATCAAGTTAGACTTAAACTATAGTTGCTGTTTTATTAATTATCAAGGTGGAGCCATTCTGTGTGCTAGCTCTCCGCAAGTTTGTTAAGTGGTTGTGCGGCTAAAATGCACATTTTAAAAATATTTTCAGTTGCAGGGACCTAGTAGCTACCCTTTCTGAGCCCACTGAATTTAGTTGCTACTGCTCGCGAGAGCAGCTGTTTGTCTGAGGACTTTTTCCTGTATCCCCCCCCACAAGGAACAGCCCTCAACCAATGACTGACAGGAGTTGATGGCTGAATGTCCCATTTACCTTGCTCCCCAGTTAGGATATCTAAAGGGTGTTTGATACTTTCTCCCAGAGCTCCCGGTGGCACTGAGGCTGGGCTGCCCACTGTTGCAACTGCTTGATCATGCATGCAAGGGTCTCCTCCTTCCTTGCCTCATTTCTCCAGTCCTGGCAGCGTAATCTTAGTCTCAGAGTTGCTAAGCCTTATCCAAACCAAAACAAAGATTTCTATGTCAAAATTTATTATTTCAGAGGTTCTCTAGTTTAGTGATGTCCAATAATAATATAATGCAATCCACGTACGTAATTTAAAATTTTCTAGTGGCCACATCTTAAAAGTGAAAAGAAATCATGAAATTAATTTTAATAATACAGTTTATCGGGGGACCTGGTTGGCTCCATCGTTTGAACATCCAACTCTTGGTTTCAGCTCAGGACATGATCCTGGAGAAGTAGAATCGAGCCCTGTGTCGCTTATGATTCTCTCTCTCTCTCCCCTGCCCTTCTCCTCTGTTCATGCTCTCTCTCTCAAAACAAAAACAATAATGCAGTTTATTTAACTCAGTATATCCAAAATATTATGAGTTTAACATGTAATTGACATAAAACATATCAATTTGATTTTTTTTTAAAGAAGTCTCTGAAATCTGGTATTTTACACTTTACGGTACATTTCTCTTTGGACCAGCCACATTGCAAGTGGTCAGCCTCATATGGCTAATAGCTACCATATTTAACAGTGGTGATCGGTCTCCTACTGTCGTATTCCATGCGTCAAAATTTATGGACTTGCTAGTTCTTGAGTATATGGGAGGCCGTCTGGTGGGTATAGTTTCCATTCTCAGCAAAATGTCACTTGCCTTTTCCTTTACTTTTAAGCTGAATAAAATCTCTATAAATATCAACACTGACAGGCGCCTTCTTTAGTCTGTGTGTGTACATATTTATGCTCTTTCAAGAATGAGCCTCTGGTAATAATAAACTCTGGGACTTACTGCCTCTCGCATGTTTCCATGCAAAATATAGACAAGATGCTTAGCATCTCTGTTTGTGTGTTTTTCAGGCAGAGGGTACCAGGCTTCAGCGAGAACTCCGAGGATATTTAGCAGCTATCAAAGGTAAATGTGTGTGGGTTGTTTACTGCATGTCCCCAAGCCCAGATTGTTCATCACGAGTGGCAGGATTCAGCGTTAATTACAAAGCCAGTTGGCTTTCTGACAAGATGGGTACTTGAGCACAGGTGTTCATTCCACCCACTCCCCAAATCCCATTGAAATGATAATCAGAATATACAAGAAAAAAAGATGTCTACTGTGATGCTGGAAAGGAGGAAAAAGTGCCTCCCACACCAGAGACTTCTAGGAAGCGTCGAGAGATCGAGTGAGCTTGAGACCTTGTTTAAGAAAAGCTGCAGCTGGTTTACAATTCAAGGGAGAGCGTGTCCCAAGAGGAGCACACTCACAGACTCACACCCAAGGCCTCCAGCTGGAAGGGGCAAGGAGTCGTGGCAGAGGCAGATGGAGGGCTATCAGAAATCAAGGCCCTGGACCACCTGTGACTTGTGGGGACCTTCTGCACTTGCAGCCCTGTCACTGTGCAGAGACAGAGAGGCCGTGACATTGGTTTCTGGCCTCAGCCATGCAAGTCAAAAGAATGAGGTGGGTGGGGCGAGAAGAGGGTGGCAGGGAGGTATGCTCTGTCCCTGCCTGCTCTTCGTTGCCCAGCTGCCTGCACTGAGTCAGGTCAGGTGTACCTGTGGATGTGATGGCTCACAGGGCAGACTTCGAGAGTAGTAGGGGAGAATGGATCTCTGCCAGGGGTCTTGGATAAACTTGCCAAACTCTCAAAAGAAAGTAAGATTCTCAGCCTCGCACTCTAGTCTGTCCTTCTCACTTACAGATCTAGTAAAGAGTTAAATATGTATGCAAGGAGATGTTCTATAGGACTGGAATAAAATACCATGGACTTAATAGCCCCTAGTCTTGGGTGACAAGGTCTTTACAAAGGGTAACCCAAAAGAGGTAACCATAAGATTGAGAGATTTGACCTCAAGAATATGTCAGACTTCCATACATACTTAAATAATTATTTCGACAACATATTTAGTGAAAGTGAACCAAGATATTAAGAGCTCAGGAGGTAAACTAAATGAATATCAGTTGATTAAAAGAAAAAAAAATAGGTAGAACATATGAAGAGAAAATTAGCCAGAGAAGAACTGGTCGGTGGGTAGTAAGTGTGAAAAATGCTTATCCTCATAGATGGATAATCAAAGAATATTTAAATGATATCAGAAGGAATATGCAGCCATTTTCCCTCCACATGTTCAAAGACACTGAAATAAAAAAAGAGACCATGATACGTAGCATCGGAAAAGCTGTGGGGAGCAGACCCCTCTTGTACGCTGCTGATAGGACAGCTTTCCTGGGAGGGCAGTTTGGCAAAAGCCTCTACGTGTGTCTTTTGGGGAAGGGGGTGTGTGTACCTTTTGACCTAGTGGTTCCAGTTGCAAGGATTTATTCTAACAGTTTCATTGTGGATGTGTGAAATTGATTATAAAGATAGCGGTAAGTAATGAAATGATGATATTAACAATCTTAATTAAAAATTAGTCATAATAAATTAGTGAAATTGATTTTTTTTGTAAAGTTTATGTACTTATTTGGAGAGAGAGAATGGGGGAGGGGCAGAGAGAGACGGAAAGAGAGAATCCCAAGCAGGCTCTGTGCTGTTAGCGAAGCAAGATGGGTACTTGCTGTCTCACAACCTGAGCCAAACAGATCAAGAGTTGGACACTTAACTGGCTGAGCCACCCAGGCACCCCATGAAATTTATTTTTAAAACTAAAATGTATTTAAGCTTTTATAGGGTGGGCATTTAATTTTAATTCTCATGACAGCTCTGAGGCAGGTACTTGTATTGCCTTTGGGTTACAGGTAAGAAAAGGGAGGAACAGAGAGGTTAAATAGCTTGTCCAAGGTCATGAACTAGTAACCAACAGGGCCAAGATACATTCTCTGGTCCACATGTCTCCTAAAGCATTGCTTTTTTTTTTTTAATTGAAGTATAATTAACATACAGTGTTATATTAGTTCCAGGTGTACAATATAGTGATTCAACAATTCTGTATATTTCTCAATTTTCATCATGATAAATGTACTCTATTTTTTTAATGTTTATTTTTGAGAGAGAGAGAGACAGAGTGTGAGTAAGGGAGGGGCAGAAAGAGGAGAGACAGAATCTGAACAGACTCTGGGCTCTGTGCTGACAGCTCAGAGCCCGATGCGGGGCTCGAACTCATGGACCGCAAGGTCATGACCTGAGCCGAATTCGAACGCCTAACGACTGAGCCACCCAGGTGCCCCACGATAAGTGTACTCTCAATCCCCTTCACCTATTTCCCCCATCCTCCCATCCACCTCCCCTCTGGCAACCACCAGTTTGTTCTCTATAGTTAAGAGTCTGTTTTTTGGTCTCTTTTTTTTCTTTGTTTGTTCATTTGTTTTCTTCAGTTCCACATATAAGTGAAATCATATGGTATTTGGCTTTCTCTCACTGTCTTATTTCACTTAATACCCTCTAGGTACATCCATGTTGTAGCCTTGCTTTTTTTTACCCACTGTCTTATCCAGGCTCTGGGCTATGTGACTGTTAGTAGGGCATTGGTTTCACAAATGAGAGTTCATCTTTCCAGTGGGATAATGGTAACTTACTATACTGTTACTATGGAATGAGCACTTCCGCGTGCCAGGCTGTGTGCTAAGCATGGGCATATTACCTCTTTGTAACCAGCCGACACAGCTATATGATAAATGATAGCCTTGGCTTACATTTTTAAAGTAAGGCTCCGAGAACTTTCACAGATCCATAGAGCTCATAGTTAACTGTTCAAAAAAAATTAACCCTAGGTATTTATAACAATTCGATCAGAAACTAGAAGGCACTCTAGGTATTTCTTTTACTGTTGGACACAAGCTGTCATGGATTATTTCAAGCCCAGGACTTTCTTTATGTTGGATGATTTTTTTTTTTTCATGTGGATAAATGTGTTAAATGAATGGGTGAATTCAGTCTCCTTCCCAAAGTCTATATATTTTGGTCAGTTTTGCTTCCCGAATAGGAAGATCACTGCTTTAAGCATTTAAGACGCGAAGAATTCTTTTCCTTAACGTGATCTAGGAGACTCCACTGAGTGAAGAGTCAGCTCCAGAGAGACGTTGGTGCAGCATCAAAGCACCCTTTCAGTGTTGCAGACTGTGTCCTGCTTCCACTTCTGATGGTTGCATCCCCATATGGAGGAGAGAGGACCTTACAGCAGCTTTTCCCCAGCACATTTTGTTAACAAATGATACTCTGTAAAAGAGACCTGTGTTTACATTACTTTGGTCAAGGTTGGTTGGAATGAATTTTCAAACAGGCTATTACAGAGTGTATTACTACAGGGCCCTTAATATGTTCATATTATCTCCAGAAGGTCTGTGGGGTGAGCAGCATTTTACCAGGTATTCGGCTGTGGAATGTTTTTCTCAAAGTCTTAGAATTAAAGTTCCTTGGAGCACATTTTGGGGTTTGGGAACACACAGAAAGACAAGGGGTAGGCATCAAATGGGTCATCATTTGGGTTTTCAAAGGGTTTCCATGGCCAACTCTCCTGGCTTTCACAAAAAAGAACACCGGCTAACTAATTGTACTGTAATGCAAGCAGCATTACCGAGAAGAGAGATCTGGCCCTGGGGAGTGATGGCCCCTGCGTCTGGTCTCAGGGACATTGGTGGGAACATCACCAGGTTCTCAGCTGCCTTGGGTTCCTTGTCCATAAGGTGCTCCAGTTTCTCTCAGAAACCCTCCACATCTCTCCCACGAGGACTCTGGGAAATTGGGTTACTCTTCATTTTATCACTGGTCTTTGGGTGCCATTCTTTTCTGTAGGTTGGTACTATTTTTGCGGATGTTTGGGTTTGCAAAGTAAATCTGGTGTTCTTGTTCATTTTAGCAGCGCACATCACATTGAGCCCTGTTTATGGACTCAATGCTGTTCTAGGAGTGGAGATGCAGAGATGACAAGACACAGTACCTATTTTCATGGAGCTGGCAGCAAAGACGGGAAGAAAGTTAAATAAACAAAAGGGCCAAATGTGCATAGTAATACATACTTTAACAGAAGCGCATCACAACGGGACAGACTCCTACCTGAGGGACAGGAGACCAGGTCAAGAACCTAGATGTAAATGGACCCAGGAAGGGAGTATAAGTAGTCATCAAGTGATAAGATACACTGGAGACTAAGGTTGATGTTGGAAGGACTTCCAGGTAGAAGAAACATGTACAGAGGCCAGGGAGGCAGAAAGAAGCATGGGCTCTTTAGGGAACAAATGGATCATTGAGGGGTAAGCAAGAATCTGAGAGGGATGAGACGTGGAAAGGTAGGCAGTTGTTCGTAGAGACAAGTGATTATGCATCATATCATATTGGGGCTTTATTCTCTCCGCAGGGAAGAGAGTCATTACATTATTGTAGACAAGGGAATGAATCATGTGATCAGAATAGCATTTTAGAAAAATAGTTGTTGTGGTTTTGTGGGATTCAAGCTCGAGGGGATAAAGCTGCAAGGAGACTTCTTAGAAGTCTAGTCCGGTATTTAATAATGATGATGATGATAGCTAGCATTTATTGAGCATTTCTGTGCTAGGCACTGAGGTAAGTTTTTACTAAGCCTCATTTCATAGAATTTTTACTGTGGCTTATGGCATGTATTTAAAAATAACGTACACTTTGGAAAACTGAGGTCTAGGATGGTTAGGTAATTTGCCTGAGATCACACAGAGCACGTGTGTTGGAACCAAGATTTTAACAAAGGCTGATTGATTGTGAATAATAGTTTTAATTATCATGTCATAATGCCTTCAAAATTATTTTTCATAAAGATGGCTGACGTTTGAATGTTCTCTTTGGCTAAGTACTTTGCTCAGCTGTTCCCATGGATTCTTTCATCTGCACCAAATGATCGATGATGGGTGTCCAGTCCAGTCTAGGGCAGTGAGAGGGGGCATGGAAGCAAAGGGCTTCATTTGAGAGTCAGGCCGAATTGATGTGCCTTGGTGATGCACTCACTCTGGGAGGATGAATCTGGGATGACTCCCAGTTTTGTAACTGGGACCATGGGGTGACATCCACGAGGACTGGGAAAAGGAGTAGGAACAGGTTTTGACAGGAAGTTCAGAGTTGGTTTTGGGCATGTGAAGCGTGAAGTATCAGCACATCCAGGAGGAGATGTCCAGTAGGGATTTGGAATTGGGAGTCACCGCTCTGTGGGTGGCAGTGGAGGCCAGACGCAGGGGCGATGAACACACCAGATCTTCCTCTAAATTGGAGCATGGCCCAGCTGGTGTCATCGATATTTTTAGTTGTACGTGGCTTATCGTGTGTAAGCATGACCCAGTGGTAGAGTTGACTGTCCTTGAGCTATCTCACAATCTGCCTTCCCCCTTCCACCCCCGACTCCTGCTCCTATATTTGCACTCCTTCTTAAGTCTCTGGAAGAAAGGCTTCTTCTCCTGTTTTCCTCAGAGCCAACTGCTGACTTCCTAAACAGCTCCCTTCTAAATAATAGGCCAAACTGCCAGATACAATATTTTAGATACTCCTGTGATGGTTTATAGCTGCTGCTGGTTATTGTCATAATGTAGTTTAACTGATGGTATTTTTAACTAGAACATACACCCTCAGGCTGTACAAGGAGGACTCTTGTAGCAGTGTAATCTCTGCATCCAATCTTAGAGGGTGAAAATAGATGCTCACAAATTTGGTGGCAAAGGGAAAGAGAGAGGATGTTGCAGTAAATGCCTTGGAGAAAGTCCAAAATTTTAAAGCAAGGGAAGTGGTTCCTACCCAATAGTAGAATAATAATTCTGTGTATGATATTGGGTGCCCATCTTGCACTTTTGGAGATCACTAATATTTTAAGAAAATACTGGATATAGATATTATTAAATGCCAGAGGTAGCATTTAGCATCCACTTTGCTTTGATGTCGCCAAGCTACTTTGAAGGGGACTTGGGTTTTAGCTTTTTAATTTTTCTCTTATGCTCTGTCAGCAGAGTAGGTTCTAAATCCCTAAAATCTCTGCAATTCTTCATGGCATTCCTTATGTATCCATCCAAGTACTTCCCATGGAGTGTTCTAGAAACAATTTCTATGTCAAAATGGATTCTTTCCAAATTCTCCATCACTACTTATCCACACAGCAATTAGCAGTTATTTTTGGCTGCTGGGAGACATATTTACTGCAACATTGTGCTTTTAGCCTCAGTGAGGAAGGTCTTATATAATTTTATTTTAAGCTTACATTCACAGTTTTATTTTTCACCACAAAGGTTATTTGACCTGCAACCCCATCATTTCTTTTTCTTCCCCTTGAAACTTTGAGACCCTATCTACACAGCTGTTTATAATTTCCATCAGACCTAAGACAAAGATTTAAGAGAAAACTTCAGAGAAGGCTTTTGGCATCTGAATTATAGAATGGTATCAACTAGTCACTAATTTTTGAGGGGTACACTTAAAAAAAATTTTTTTTACATTTATTCACCTTTGAGAGACAGGGAGAGAGTGCAAGCGGGGAAGGGGCAGAGAGAGAGAGGGAGACACAGAATCCAAAGCAGTCTCTAAGCTCTGAGCTGTCAGCACAGAGCCTGGCACAGGGATCAAACCCACGAACCGTGAGATCATGACCTGAGCCGAAGTCAGACGCTTAACCCGACTGAGCCACCCAGGCGCCCCGAGGGGTTCATTTCTTAGTAGAGGCTTGCTTTTACTTGGGGAGGGGCGAATGTGGACGCTGGAGATACTGTCACTCGTCAGCAGTGGCCACATGAACAAGAAGGAACATTCTCCTTGGCTTGCACTCGGAGTGTGCTAGGGGACACGTGCAGGTGTTTGCATTATTTTTTGGCTGTCTCTCCACCTACATAACTTCATGGTGTCACCTCTGGGGTTTCATCTTTTGGTCGCCAAGTTGTTTCAGCTGGTGTAGGCTGTACGGTGTGTTGTAAAGGGCATCCTTCAGTGTGCTCGGTGACGTACCTTGTGGAGACAGGGTTGTAGGCTTTCATGCTTCATGTTGCCCTGAAATCTTCAAACTTGTCACTTGCAAAGACCAAATCTGTTACCTGCAGCTTATCTGGGGAAGGCGGGTAGGGGGTGGTTCTATAACCTAGAGAGAAAACATACTGTGAAATACCATGTTGACTTTTGCACATACTCTTCAAGGATACACTTCTGTCACTTCGGACGTCTTTTATTTTGTCCTTTTCTCGTGGTTCAACCCAGAATCGGCTCCCTTAAATCCAACAAGCATGTAGTTGAGTCTAGATTGTTGCAGCTTTCAGTCTCATAGAAAACTTTCCATCATGGAGTCATTGGCATTAAGTTTATGGGATGCTTTTCATTTTTTTTTTTATAAAAATTTTTTAATGTTTATTTATTTTGGGGAGAGAGAGAGAGAGAGACAGAGCACAAGTGGGGGAGGAGCAGAGGGAGAGGGAGAGGGAGGCGCAGAATTAGAAGCAGGCTCTAGGATCCAAGCTGTCAGCACAGAGCCCAATGCGGGGCTCGAACTCACGAACTGCAAGATCATGACCTGAGCCGAAGTCGGAGGCTTAACTGACTGAGCCACCTAGGCACCCCAAGGGATGCTTTTCATTTCTAATGATTGCACTCTGACTTTCCTCTTTTCTCCTCTTAGCCAGCTATTTTTCATATCCCCTAGTGACAAAGGCCAAGACGCCAGCCAGGACAGGTCTCAGCTTCCAGCTGGTAGGGAGGGCTTGTTGCCACAGGGGACACCTACAGTCAATGAACGCACTTTGGACTGTTCTGGGCCCTGTGCTGTCTCTACACAGTCCACACTGTGCCCTCCCTGTTTGGAAGGAGGAGCAGATCGGAGAGTGGAACAGACTTGGTGATACTTTATATCTTTCCTATTATTTAACAGCCATATTTATGCAACACACCAAAGCCATGTCTAATGAACATTGTGACCCGTAGATTTAAGAACTCCAAGCTTTCTGAGTGTTCTGGTTTAAAACTGTATATGTAGCTTCTAGTAACATTAGAAAAACTTTTCTTTTTTTCTTTTGAAAATGTTTAGGCCTCTTCAACCACTTTCAGCTGGGAGGCCCTAGAATCCTGTTAATTTTGCTTCAACCTGCTTCTATAGATGGTCTTTATTTCTTATATTTAAAGCCATTTAGGATTAATTTTAATTTTGGAACTCTGTAGTTTTATGGGCCAGTTTTCTGGGTGTCCTGTGTATTTATGGTTCCGTGCCACTTCGTAAGTGACCGCACACGTGATAGAACACGTTACTCTTGTTGTTTTCAGAATAGGACACCTTGTTGATTTTTTTCAAGGCTCTGTATCAGTCATTACCATGTAAATAATGAGAAACGCATAATGTAATCGGGTCAGTAGGAGACCCTCCCGGGAAGTTGTGAATACAGTCGAAAGTAACAGTCATGCCTTCACAGTTTTTCCTTAATAGATTAGTGGGTAGTCAAGGTATTCTTCTCTTAGAAAAGTAGGGGAGGGGTACCGGGGTGGCCCAGTTGGTTGAGCATCCGACTCTTGCTTTTGGCTCAGGTCATGATCTCAGGGTTCGTGGGATCGAGCCCCACATCAGGCTGTCTGCTGACGGCACAGATCCTGCTTGGGATTCTCTCTCTCTCTCTCTCTCTCTCTCTCTCTCTCCCCCCCTCCCCTGCTCTTCCTCTCTCTCTTTCTCTCTCTCAAGATAGATAAATATTAAAAAAAATAAAAGTAGGGGAAAGAGGAATAGGCACCTCACCAATTTATATCCAACAAGAGTTGTTTTCTCTCCAACACCAGCCATGCAAGAAGCCTCCATGAAGCTCACCGAGTCGCTGCACGAAGTCTATGAGCCTGATTGGTATGGGCGGGAAGATGTGAAGATGGTGGGCGAGGTAAGAGCCAGGATCATGCACCACAGGAGGCCTGGGGGGTCTCTGCCAGGCTGCCGCCAAGTCCCACTCACTTACTCTATCCCTTGACCCCCGTCTTACCTCTTCACAGCCTTAATCGTGAAGGTGGGAGGGGAGTGCTATGTAGCCAGAAGACGCTGTTTAGTTCTGGCATCAAGAGCATGCCAAATACACGGTGATTAGTGAACTGTTATAAACCGAAATAAGAATAGTGTTTTTCTATCTACACATCTTAGCTCATTGCAGCAGAACTGGCTCATGGCATGACTCTCTGTACTGACTTCACCCCTGCAACCTTGCTTTTCCCATCCCTTCTGGAAAACAGGATCAGGAGGTGCAAAAAGCATCTATTTCACTTAAATGCCACTGGTCCACTCGCTGGTCTGCAGATCCAAAGGACTGATGCGGACAGCCTGTTAATAGCAATGTAACTTCCAGAAGCCTTTGTCCCTAGACATGTCTGAACACCCAAAATCCAATTTCTAACCGAGGGCCATCTGGCTGGCGGGAAGTGATAAAGCGGGTATTTTCTGCTTTGGGGAAGGAGAATGGGGTGGAGACCAAGAATGATCTCTATGATAGTTGATGCATTCTTTAATCTTCTCAGGCGTTAGCTTCCTCATCTGTGAAGTGAGACTAAGAATCATACCCACAAATAACACGTTTAAAGTCTGCGTGTTCGTGTCATCGACATGATGCTCGATACACGTGATTCTTACTGGTAATAGCAAGCCACCTGTCGGGAGTTCTCTCGTGTCCAAGTTCTTTGTTAAAGAACAGTGTTTGTCATACCCACCTCACGTGAGCTCATTGATGAACATTCAGGCACAGAAGGGATCCTTGTAAGGGATCCTTCCTAAGGGATGCGGCCACCCAGCTCAAGAGGTCTGACATGTGATGTGCTGTCTACGCAGCCTTTGGAAAGATGAGTTAACAGTGCAGCCCCAGGCTGCTCTGTGAAAATTCTGACATCCCCACACTGATTTCCATAATCTTGTTAAGACTGAGATAGAAGCCGAGCTTTAATTAGGAGGAAAGTTCTTATTGGCCCTGTTACTTCTTTAGAAAACTTTCAGAAAATGAATCTGGCAGAACCAGCCTCCACACACCCTCTCCAATACAATTATTAAGTAATTCCTTCTTCTCACATTTTTTCAATATAATGACGCTGTTTCAACATCTTGTTGTTAAATGCTTCACTTGTATGACCAATTTCTGGTGAATGGTGTATAATTCAAAATTCATCATGAAAGGAAGACTTCTTAAGGGAATAATAGAAATGTGCATTAATAGCTTTTCAGAGCATCGTGTTTCGTTCTATGCACGGCAGATCCCACTGTTGACATTTGTTCCGTAAGGAAATGCTGGAATTCCACCTTGGTCCTCGTAGGTCCTGCCAAGACTTTTGGAACCTTTAGTTGCAGATCCAAATACGGCCTCTTCTGATGGTGAAGGAGCTCAACGCTATGTGTTCAGGGCATCTGTTCGCCTCAGAAGATGAGCCTCTTCATGCAGAGGATTTAAATTCTTTTTTCCATTTGCGTGAAATTTGTGGATGGGGATCTGTAATAATTAGGGTGAGTATTGAAGTGTGAAAAAGAAACAAAAGCAAATAAGCCCCCAAAAGTAGCTTTCAAAAGATAGAATGTTATCTCTCTCCCCTAAAGGGCTTTGCAGGTGAGCAGCCCAGGTATGGGGACAACAGGGGCCCATCGTTGCCTTCCTCACTGCTCCCTCCAGGTTCGGTATGATTCTCTGAGCACTGGCCATCAGCTCTCACTTCTGCATCCCAGTTGGTAGAAGGAGGAAGCGTGGAAGATAAGCCTCCTTTTAGGGACACCTCCTGAAAGTTCACCCCATTGGCCAGACCTTAGTCCCATGGGCTGTGCTTAGCTGTGCCGCAGGCTGGCAAATGTAGTCTGTATCCTCGGTACCCTATATTGTAAACTGGAACTGGTAGTCAAGTTGCCTTGAAATTGTATTGTATTATTAAATAATCCACCTTTTCTTCTGGTCTCTACTATCCAGGGGAGTCCTATTTATCTAATTTTGTCATTTTTGATTTTTCAGAAGTTTGGTGAAAAGGATCCAATTAAAATCATTCAGCAGTAATCTCTTTTTTCTCTTTTTTCTTTCAGAAATGTGATGTCCTGTGGGAAGACTTCCATCAGAAACTAGTGGATGGGTCCTTGCTGACATTGGATACCTATCTGGGCCAATTTCCTGACATAAAGGTATTTTACTTTGTGTCTATAATGGGAGGAATTGAATGGTTCCATGGACTAATTGAAACACGGGCAAGGGAGGGGCGCCTCTGTGGCTCAGTCAGCTGAGCTTCTGACTTTGGCTCAGGTCATGATCTCATGGTTCGTGAGTTCGAGCCCTATGTGGAGCTTTGTGCTGACAGCTCAGAGCCTGGAGCTTGCTTTGAATTCTGTGTCTCCCTCTTTCTCTCTGCTCCACCCCCACTTGTGCACTCTTTCTCTCTCTCTCTCTCTCTCTCTCTCTCTCTCTCTCTCTCAAAAATAAATAAATGTTAAAAAAAAAATAAAATAAAATAAAGAAACACAGGTAAGGGATAAGTGGAGTTCAGAGTCCTCAAGCTGACATCAAAGACGGTAACTTTTCATTCATTTAAGCATGGACGCGTGATCCTGTTCCTATCAGTTTTGAAATGAAATGTAGCTACAGAAATGACATTTTCCCCTTTGGCAGACTGCTTCAACTTTTATTTCTCTGCAGACATCTTTTTAATACTCTAGATATAAAATTGCAAACCAGATACCAAAAATTCCAATCTTCTTTATGTTCAGACCTTTTTTATTGCATAGCGTTTGATAAGAATTTCCATTAGAATAAACAGCGGTCACAAGGAAAGGAGAAAACCTCATTGCGAACACGAGAGCAAAAAAATGTGATCTTCCCGTGTTTACTGTTCGTAACACACCTGCATATTTTTTCTCTCCTTAAAATTTTCTGCTTCCAATTGAATTGTTAAGATACAAGCATTTCAAGTGCATTAGCATCTGGATCTAAAAATACCTTGTCTAGAACATTTGTCTTATTTGACACTTGGATTCATTGAAAGGGAAATATATAAGTGAAGGATTGAACATCATAGATTTGGAATTAACTCTGGAGGTAGACATGGTTTTTAAACCTTCAGGGCTGTATATAGCAAATGGTAGCATTAATAGATTTGCCCGACCCCCACCCCCCATTGTCTTTCCTGCTCAAGTAAGAGTACCAAATAAGATAACCTTGTGCTGCCCTTCCTTTAGTGTGAAGGAAGCCATGAACCTGCATCCACCCACCTGCAGTGCCTTAATTCAGTGATTTCTTATGTGAAGGTCCACTTTTACCTGGCCTGCTTTGTAGCCATGGCCATGAAACATAGTGAAGCTTCTCGGCCAGAACAGCACACCTATCAATGATGTTAATTTCCTTGGTCCCACACAGAATACCTAACAACTAGTTGGCCAGCATCCGAAGTGTTATTTTGGGACACAGGGGCACCAGACAAGAACCTCAGGGGGATCAGACGAGGTACATTAGCCTTGGTGACAAAATGTCACAGAGAACAAATCCAAATGATGGATTCTCAGTGATGTTATCATAATATGCAAGACATTTTATTGAGCCATTGCAGGACCGTATCCTCATTAAAAGGTGTAGGTTGGCTTTTGAAAGTTTTCTGAGAAATGTAAAAATTAAACTGAAAAAATTTTAGAATTCTGTGAGGCTGCATGCACTAACCTATAGAGAATATGTCTTGGGATATCTTCAGATTATTTGGTAGACAGTCACATTTTGTCTTGGAATTTGTAACACTCGTGGAGCAAACAATCTCAGAATCCCTATCATACTTCAGGATATCATATATTACATGGTAATTTAATCTCCATAAAAATAACTTCCAAATATGTCAGGAGAAGATAAGGGAAAAGTTTGACCTCATAGTCAAAAATTTCAAAGCAGTTTGCAACTAGTCTAAATTATTCATATATTAAACATTCATAGTATGATTTAACTAAGCAAATGGGGGCTGTGACTGACCAGAGAAGAACACATTTAAAAAGTTGTTGAGTTTCAGGAACAAAAACTTGGTATCATCAAAAAAATGCGGAGGATCTCAGTAGTTATGGTACTTGCCAGTCATAGTTATTTGGAAATTGGCCATACTCTCTAGGAGCATATAATTTAAAAAAATTTTAGTGTTTATTTATTTTTGAGAGGGAGAGACAGAGCACGAGCATGGGAGGGGCAGAGAGAGAGGGAGACGCAGAATCTGAAACAGGCTCCAGGCTCTGAGCTGTCAGCACAGAGCTCGACACGGGGCTTGAGCCCACGAATTGTGAGATCATGACCTGAGCTGAGGTCGGATGCTTAACCTACTGGGCCACCCTAGGAGCATATAATTTTATAAGACAAATACACCCAGAAGTACCTGCATTGAAACATAGATTAAAGTAAAATCATTATAAAAGACATTGGCTAGTGTTTTCAGTTTGTTCCATGTCAGAAAGATGAAGAACTTAATAGAACTTTTAATTAAGCAGTTCTTTTCTTGAGGTCCATGGTTGAGGCCATGCAGAAAGATGATCCTTCAGTGACTGAACAATCTTTACATTAGAGATTTGGGAATAACATCATCTACCTGGATGTCTTGAAAATAAGTGAAATACATGCCTTGGTGTTGCCTGCATCATGCAAAGAGGCTGAAAGAATCACTCTTTCTCTGAAGTTACATTTAGAATATCATACCATACACATAGGGTTTCAACCAAGATAGATAATTATGAAACCATTTCATATGACAAAGAGTTGAGGAAATTGCATTTCAATAGGAAAGGAAACTGTCTGGAATTAGAGCGTAGACAGGGTAGCTGCTTCTCATATTTGAAAGACTGTTTTCTGTGAAGATACACTTAAGCTATTCTCTGTGTCTTTGCTCACTGAATGGAAGGTAGAAGCGGATGTAGGCTCTGTCACTTTGTCACGTTAGTGCTGAATGATTATGTAATGAATGGGTTATTGAATGAAAGGAGGCTGATGATTAAAAATACCGAGTAGAGAATTTTCAGAGCATGGAACTCAATTGACTTCCTTGACTTCCATTGAAAGCAAACAGGCCAAGTGTAGTTAAAACGTCAGGCAAATTTCCAAATATTTACTGCAGCTCACCAGCAAGGGCTATGAAGTACCATTCATGAGGGAATGATGTTTGATTTTTCCAACTGTGATTGGCAGGGCACCCAGTATTATAGTTCTTATTATGCAGCACTGACATCTGAAATCAATGCTAGAATAAGAGCCAGTTTGTCATCAATGCAGGCAGGCTTACAGCTCTGAGCAGTTATTGTAAAATGGAGTTTAGATTCTGTCTTGGCAGCCACGCAGAAGCACCTAAACATACATTTATGGCAGTGTGCCAAAGTGAATCCAAATTGGGGTTATTATCGAAATTTTTGAAAAATACAGTAAATTAAATTTTTTACTCTATAAGGTGAGCGTGCAGTGGGAAATCTGAAAAAATTTCAATTGAACCATCTAATTAAACGGTTTGCCATCAAACTAGTGAATTTATTTAATGAAATTTGCCACTGGATGGTGACATAAGAATTGTATCATGTTCTATATAAAAGCCAACGTGAATGAACTCGACCCTCACTTATGAGACTTCTTTTTTTCAATGTTTTCAAATATCAGATAGGTAAGGAAATAAGATTGATTTGTATTTCCAGCACAAAACTGAGGGGTGGCCTTTAAAACAGTCACTTCTACCTTGGTAAGCCCTGCTCTGTAGTTGACTTGTCAGTTACATAAGAAAATGAGTCATCACTTCCTGTTTTTGAGCAAAAACAAAAAAACAAAAAACAAAACACATGACCCAGTATACTCTTCCACCTTATTCTCAGGCTCAGAAGTAACTGAATTTTGGCTCTTTGAAAAATCACATTCATCTTCAAAGAATCAAGATTTGCTTCTTGGAAAATACTAAAGAAGAGTTCCCCACCCCGATCCCTACCCTATTATATCCACAAAGCAGAGCTCTATCAGAATTACGTAGAGTCTCACAAGACCATTGCTTCAAGGGCCAGTGGTCCCTTGAAGGTAATAGTTAGATGTTTGCTAAAAATAATGAGCCCTGTCACCTCATAGGCACACTGTGTCCACCAGAGTTCACTGAAGGGCATCACTGCATGCTGCCTAGACTCATTCATTGCATATCTTTAAGCCAGTGTGAGTCAGCCATTCCTTCCACTACTAACACCAGTTGGATGTGGCAGGTGTAGAGGGTAAAGGGATTGGAAGCAGCTAAATGAGAGTAACTGCCCCAACCCACCTGTCACCAATCCCGAAGGGGGTGTAGAGGAATAGCATAGAGTGGTAGTTGAATGATGGGGTCCGTCAGAGAAATCGGGGAGCAGTTAGAAGGAGGAGTAACCAAGAGTCAGGAGCAGGGTGGGGACTGGGTGAGGCAGGTGAGGGCACCAGAGTTCAAGCCAAAAGGAGGCACCTGCTCTGGGTTGCTGATTCTGCACGTTTTTGACCCAGAGAGTAAGGGCCTTCTTAGATATTGTGTCCTACAGGTCTCACGGGCATCTCCCTGCCCCTGGCACTGGTCGGGGCAGGAGTGGGGGAGGGTGGGAACTGACATCTAATTCATCTTTGCCAGAGACTTTCTGAGCAATTCTGGACACGTTAGAAGTTAATCCCGTGCGACTCAAAATCCTCTATACGTAAAGTGGGAATAATCCCTACAACACCCATACTAGATGTTGCAGAGGGTCTGTGCGTAGTGACTGTTTTGTGTGCCACAAACATAATTTTATTGTTGTTTTCTTCTTCCTTCCGTGCACAATTTAAAGTGTTTTTAAGGATCTCCTCCTGCTGTAGTTCTCAGATTGGACTAACTAGCTGTAACTGGACTGCTAGGGATCTTTTTAAAAAGGACAGGGGTGCCTGGGTGGCTCAGTTGGTTAAGCATCCGACTCTTGGTTTTGGCTCAGGTCATGATCTCACGATTCATGGGTTCAAGCCCTGCATCGGGCTCTGTGCTGATAGTGTAAGGCCTGCACGCAATTCTCTCTCTCTCTGCCCCTCCCCACCCTCTCTCTCTTTCTCTCTCTCTCTCTCTCTAAAAATCAGTAAATAAACTTAAAAAATACTTTAAAAAAGGACAGATGCCTGGGCCTTGCCTCGACTAATTAAATTTGCTTATTATTTGCTTATTAGTTATACGTCTGTAACTTTTTAGTGGTTGCTCTACAATTTATAACACGTCTTTAACTTTTCCTGTCTAACTTCAAATACTCTCACAGCACTTTCATATAGAGAATATATTTCCAGTTCTTTCCTCCCGTCCTCTGTTATTATCAGACGTTTTTCCTTTACAAATGTTATAAACCCCATGGTACATATTTTCTGTTTCCTTTTATGCTCTAGATAATCAGTTACCTTTTCAAGCAATTAAAAGTAAAAAACCAAAATCATGTATATTTACTTGAATTTTATAATTTCTGGTATGTTTTTTTGTTTTGTTTTTTTGTGGGTTTTTTTTGTTTGTTTTTTGTATAGCTCTACTTTGTATTAAAATTCCCATAACGAAAGTGAGTTCTTTCAGCTTTTGTTTGTCTGAAAAAGACTTTTTCATTTTCACTGTCGGAAGGCATTTTTACTGGGACTAGAACTCCGAGTTGGCAGATTTCTTTTTCTTTTGTTTTCTGTACTTTAAAAATGTCATTTCATTGTATTCTGGCTTCATAGTTTCTCAGGATTAGTCTGCTGTAATCTTTGCCTTGTTCTTTCTGCTTTTCTTTATCCTTGATTTTAAGCAGTTTGGCTGTCAAGTGTCTGGATGTGTACTGTTTGGTGTTTATCCTTCTTGGGGTTTTGTGAGTTTCTTGGGTCTGCCCTTTCATGTCTTTATTATTATATAAATTTCTCAGCCAATATCTCCTCAGATATTTCTTCTGACTTACCCTCTCATCTCTTTTGGAAAATCCATTGATACGGTGTTGGACCATTTAATATCAGGTCTTGTATGCTTGATTCTGTTACGTTTTCAACTCTTAGTTCTCTTTGTGTTTTAATGGGAATAATTTCTCTTGATGGATTTTCAAGTGCAATCTTCTTTCTTGGCTAAAGTACAGCAATTGGCCTATCAAAGACATTTTTCCTTTCTGGTATCATTTTTTTTTTTTTTTTTACTTCTAGCATTTCCATTTGATTTTTTTAGAAAGATATTTTCAATTATTTTTAACGTTCATTTTATTTTTGAGAGAGAGAAAGAGACAGAGTGTGAGGGGGGAGAGAGAGAGGGACACAGAATCTGAAGCAGGCTCCAGACTCTGAGCTGTCAGCACAGAGCCCAACACAGGGCTCGAACTCACGAACCGTGCCATCATGACCCGAGCTGACGTCGGATGCTTAACCCACTGAGCCACCCAAGTGCCCCTCCATTTGATTCTTATTTGACTATTAAAGTTCCCATATTTCTGTAGACATTATTCCTCTGCTTATGTCTGTTATCTTCCTTTTGCAACTCGATTCTTGTTTGGTATTTCCAACATGTCTGAGGGATCATGTCTGAGTCTGGTTCATGGATTGCTTTATTTTTTTCTCATGGATGTGTGTGTGTGTGTGTGTGTGTGTGTGTGTGTGTGTGTGTGATAATTTTAGAATGAATCCCAGGCATCATGTGTAGAATAGTAAAGACTGAAGTAACATTAATGTCTCGAAATGGGCCTATCTTTTCGTCAGGCCAGCAGCATGGGGATGCAAGTCAATCTGATGAATTGAAGTGGTTTGGGTTTGTTGGTACTGTTGATACTTTCAGTGCACAAGGGCTTTCACATTCCTCTAGACTTGGGCTGCTAATGCCTTGTTCTGCTCTCTTAACCTCTATCATGTTTTTAGACTCGGGTTGAGGTCTGGTTTTTGCCTCTCCTTTGGCCCACATGGACAGGCCCGTGGATGCGAGATCATTTTTCTGAGTGTCCTTGTTTCCATCAGATTTTGGTTCCTTGTATGCTTGTATTGCAGAAGGGGGCCCCCCATATATATTTGCTCTCCCACCAGTGGGAGGCAGCTATTGCTTGTTATTGAGCGTTGGACTTATCATGGGGGCAAGGCTGTCTTCTGGTATGCTTTCTTAGCCTGTCTGAAGCAAAGTCAGCCTCATATCTGTGGTTGTTTTTTTTTTAATTTTTTTTTCAATTTTTTAAAAATTTACATCCGAATTAGTTAGCATATAGTGCAACAATGATTTCAGGAGTAGATTCCTTAGTGCCCCTCACCCATTTAGCCCATTCCCCCTCCCACAACCCCTCCAGTAACCCTCAGTTTGTTCTCCACATTTATGAGTCTCTTCTGTTGTGTCCTTCCCTGTTTTTATATTATGTTTGTCTCCCTTCCCTCATGTTCATCTGTTTGTTTTTTTTTCCCTTTGGTTGGTTTTGAGCAGTTTCCTGCCCCTGCCCGAGTGGGAACAGACCTCTGCGTCTTAAAGGGGTCAGACTCTGGGCCCCAGAAGGTTTATGCCCCTCCCCTGAATGAGTAGGGACTTTTTCATTTACCCTTCTTTGTGGAACAGTGTTCTTTGCATGTAGCGTAGGGGACAGAGGGGTTTCTATCACCGCCCCCTCTCCCCCAAGGCCAGACTGGTTTTGCTTCTGCTCTTCACCATCAAGCAGTGGATCTCTGCCTGGGGTCTGTGAGTAGGAGGATTTCTCGCTCCCTCCTTAAGCCACTTAAAGCTTTTGCCTTGTAAGAGAAAAATGTCCATTGACACAGGCGTGGTTTGGTGCCCACGCTGTGTAACCATAGCTCATCTCATTCTCACCTGCACTGCAAGGGAGTGTCGTGTTCCCAGACTTTCTCACAGCATCCAAGGGAGGCCAAAGGAAAGAACTTACCCCTGAGTGCAATTTGCCCTCATGCCTTGGCCACCCAGATTTCCAAAGTGATACCTTACCCCACATTAGGCCTTTAACAGTTTGTTGAAATTTTAGCTGACCTCCTCATGTCCACTTGTATGGTAGCCACAGCTGTTACCTGTACCCTGGTGTGTTGGCACAAATGGTCTGTTGGCTTATCTCTTCTCGGATGGATTTTCCCTCTTCCTGAATAAAAGAATTCAGATTACTTTGTTGCCTTGTGACCTTAGGTCTCTGATACAATCAATGAGAGTTACCCTTTTATAGATGATCCACATTTTTTCTTGTCGGTGTGAGAGTGACATTTGTTGCAGTTGTCTGTATCCTAAATGGAAGTGGGAGTCTCTAGGAATCAACGTATTTTTAAAGCTCCTCGGGTGATTCTAATGAACAAAAGGATTGGGGAATACTTCTAGGAAGAAGGATTTTTTAGGAAGTAAATCCGTTTTATAGAATTGCTGTTGGTGTGAGTGTTATTTGAATTGTAAAACCAGGGGCGCTTGGGTAGCTCAGTCGGTTAAGAGTCTGACTTCGGCTCAGGTCATGATATCACGGTTTGTGGGCTCGAGCCCCACACCGGGCTCTGTGCTGACAGCTCAGAGCCTGGAGCCTGCTTCGGATTCTGTGTCTCCCTCTCTCTCTCTGCCCCTCCCCTGCTCGCGCTCTCTCTGACTCAAAAAGAAATAAACATTGAAAAAAAAAGAAGTGTAAAAACAAATGCTAACATAGTTTTCCATGATCTTCAAAGTGGAACACTTCACGATTTAGAGGAGAGGCTAAAAGACAGTATAGGTTTACTGCTCTCCTCAACCAGTTCTGGAAATTTTCTGATTTTTGACCGTACATTCTACCCTCAACTGACCAGCCTAATTACTATCAAAAGGGAAGATATTTACCTAATGGTTTTTACATAAATGGTTTTACATAAGAATTGGAGGTGTATTTTGGAGAATTTCCAGGTATCATTTGTCTGCTGAAATTCTGGCTCACTTCAATCTCTAGTCAAGATATTTGGTTACTCTGGACAAGGAAAACATTTCAACAGTCAAAAAGAGACTCTATGACCACTCCTTTTCCTTATTTGCATGTATTTCCTTGTTGGCAGAATCGCATTGCAAAACGCAGCAGGAAGCTGGTGGACTATGACAGCGCTCGCCACCATCTAGAAGCTTTGCAGAGCTCCAAGAGGAAGGATGAAAGTCGAATCTCTAAGGTAAGGATTGATCCCACCATTGACACCACTCTCTACGTTCTATGACTTCTGACAGTTTCTCTTTTTAAGATTGAATACAAGCAGATTGGGAGGAGTCAATTTGGTGGAGGAGTAGGGGGACCCTAAGCTTGCCTTGTCCCACAAACACAGCTAGATAAGTATCAGATCATTTTGAACACCTAAGAGATCGATGTGAAGGCTGAGAGAGTAAAATTAAATACAAGCATACCTCAAAGATCTTGTGGGTTCAGTTCCCGACCACTGCAATAAAGCAAATATTGCAGTAAAGCAATCAGATGCATGTTTTAGTTTCCCGGTGCAAACAAAGGTTATGTTTATGCTATACTGTAGTCTGTTAAGTGTGCAATAGCATTATGATTAAAAACACAGCGTGCGTATCTTAACTAAAAACACTTTATTGCTAAAAAATGCTAACCATTACCTGAGCTTTCAGTGAATCATAATCACTGATCCCAGATCACCATAACAGATGTAATAATAATGAAGATGCCTACATATTGCAAGAATTACCTGAATGTGACACAGAGACATGAAGTGAACAAGTGCTGTTGGAAAAATGGCACCTGTAGACTTGCTTGGTGCTGGGTTGCCACAGACCTTCAATTTGCAAAAATGTCAGTTATCTGCACATTACTGTAAGGTAAAGCGCGCACACACACACACACACACACACACAAAACAACCGAGGTATGCTTGTATTTCCTTTTTGAAGGAGATTGGAAACAGGACAGAATTTCAACTGCATCATGGTACCTACGGGCTGCTTTCCATAATTCTTAAGTAAAAAATAAGGTTCTGCATGTTACCATAGAGTACACGTGGCTGACACTGACTCCTACATTTTGATCAAAATAAACCTTGGCCCCCAACAATCCTGCAGGGTCAGTGAAAGTAACGTGTTCCCACACTTCCTTCTGTGTTTGTAGTCCGTAGTTGAAGCTAAAAGGCAGATTCAGAGAGAAAACCAAATTTGAAATGCTAAGATATAACCTGTGATTGTCAGAGAGCCCAGCTATGGGCTAGATTTGTGGAACTGATTCATTTTCTTGTAGAAAACCCACTTCCGCAGCTTTTACTCCGTATGCCCATTACTTACAGACACCAACTAACTGACACCTGGTAACTACTCGCTTTGCTCTCAGTCTTGCCTCCTCCTGTCTGCCTACACACAGCTGTCTGAATAGTCTTTCTGCCTCACATCTCTAGATCTGTTTCCCCACTGCTTGTCTTTTAATGGCTGCCATTGCCTGTAGAAAGCAAATCTAAGTTCCTTAGCAGGCGTACGAGCCCTGCACAACTTGGTGGTTGTTCATCCTACTCAACTTTCAAATTTTCTTTCCCCTCTGCTTCCTCCCTACGCATATCCTAAGCTAGAGCCCCCGTGACCCACACCTCAGTTCCCGAGTGGCCATGATAAGAGCTCTGCTTCGTGCACAACCCCATAGATGCCAGGCACCATGATCATCCACATTGTCATTTCTTAATAGTCACAATAGCTGTGAAGGAGGCATTACCATCTCCCATTTTATCAATGAGGTATCCAAGGTGAAGAAAGTGAAAACAGCCTCCCAAGTTTCCACAATTGGTAAGCTAGGATTCTGGCTACTAGGGAACGCCACCTTCGTGCATTGGAGTGTCTGTCCACCCCCTTCTTTAGCAAACATTTGCTGATTCTTCAAGAGTCCATTAGAATATCACTTTCCCTGTGGAACCTTCTCTGTTTCTATACCATCTTCCCCAATAGCATGCTCTGCAACACTATCTTGTAATGTAATTATTTTCACTTCCCGGTAGACTGGGAGCTCTTTAGGAAGCATCCGTGTGCAGTATCCAGAGCAGAGCAGTGCATGTGACAGTTAACCCGTTTTGTGGCATGAATGGATCTGCCAGATTACAAAAGCACCCATTGTAATTGAGTCAGTTTCTGTGTCTCAGTAAGACTTCGTGTTTCTTATCGGAAACGGTTTTGTGGATTATAACCAGACAAATTTCTGTCCTTCTCAAAATGTTTCTTGGATGCCATAAAGCTATTCCTATTTTATGTTCAGTGCTGTTGTCGTACATAACAGTGGCTTGTGTTTCAGTGAGACTTTTTTTTTTAGCGTAAACACGTGTCAATGTGTCCTTTCTAGGCAGAAGAGGAATTTCAGAAAGCACAGAAAGTATTTGAAGAGTTTAACGTTGACTTACAAGAGGAGTTACCATCGTTATGGTCAAGGTAAAGTTTCTGTGCAGGGTGTACGTGTCCCATTTAGAAGATCGAGAAGAGGCGATATCCCTTCTCTTATCTTTATTGTTTGTGATGCTTCAGGGCCATCGAACCTGGCAAAACGTTCTATGTATCTATATATCTGTGCTTTTCAGAATGGTAGCTGCCTGCCACACGTGGCTGGCTGTTGAACTCTTGGAATATGGCTCATATGGTGTGAGGAAGTGAATTTTTAATTTATTTTGCTTTGACTCATTTAAATTTAAATAGCCACACGAAGCTAGCAGCTGCTATATTGATGACACAGTTTTTAGACCTGGATATATTTCTCAAGTGGAGTCTCCCATCTCAGAAAGAGGCAACAGGAGAATTGCCCTTAACTTTGAAATTTACAAGGATACCCCATTAGCTCTTGGCAGAACTCCCTTGATCCCCAGAGGTCATCTGGTCTTCAGGCTTGGATGCCAAACCCTGTGCTTTCAGCTCTGACCTTTTTAACCTGAACTGCATTCCCATTTTAAGCACTAAATATTTTTCTTTTATGGTTACTCTGCAATTCTCATGGCATTAAGTGCATTTTCCATCCCTTGTCTTATATTTCCCCCTCAATGGTAGAACCAAGAAGCTGTTGGATGCAGTGGGGACTTCCGCCTCTCAATTTCCATCGGCACCTCATGTGACCATGCCATATAAACACATTTGCACTTGCTATGCAACATTGCTTTAAGACAAATCCTCTGGCCCGGTTTCCAACCAGACTGGCATCCTCAAAACCTTCCTATCTAAAAATTCTGGAAGTCCTACTTATCCTTTAAAACTGTAAGCGTTTTGAGGGTCTAGAGTGGAGTTTGTCCGTGTTTGTGTCCACTCCGTGTTTATTTTTGAAATAACTAGAGGAAATTTCGGCCAGTTCACTCTAGAATCAGCCTGTAAGGCATCCCACTTCAATGTCCAGCCATAACCCAAGGTTCAACATGTGTGAAATTAACTCCTCGCTCATCTGAATTTACTCATTCTTTCCACACCTGCATTTCTCTTTTTGGTACTGTCATTCTTGGGCTCCCCGCCTCAAAGCTTTGGCGTCATTAACTATGGGAAGCCAGAGGACCATCAAAGGAATCAATTTATCCTTTCTCTGTGGTCTTCTGGATTGGTCTCTGCCTCCGTATTCTCATTGCCACCACCCATCCCCTCATCACCCTCCTGTTGAGGCAAATATCTATTCATAACTTTCATGGAGTCATTCGTGCCTATTTAAAACCACAAATTATAGGGGCACCTGGGTGGCTCAGCCAGTTGAGTGTCTGACTCTTGATTTTGGGTCAGGTCATGATCCCAGAGTTGTGGGACTGAACCCCACGCTCAGTTCAGAGCCTGGTTGAGAGTCTTTCTCTCTCCCTTTGCCCCTCTGCCTGTCTCCCCTGCTTGTGCTTTTTCTCTCTCTCTCTCTCAAATAAATTTTAAAAAGAAGATAAAGTCACAAATCATATGAAATTATGGGTTTTTTAAGAAGTATATTTTTTCATTCTTATATTTCAAAAAATACTTGTATCCAAAATCTTTATGCACATCGTTGGCACCCATGTCTTTGTCCTCATCAAGGCTGACTCATGAAATGTCAGCCAGGAGTTCTCCCCAGCTTATCATCTTCCTCAACATCCCCAACACCAGTTGTGATTTGCATACAATTTAAACAGTTCTCCTGTTCATTTCCCCTCTAAAGGAATTTTTGTGATCTCAAATGTCATTACTTACCCAATTGCTTTTTAAACTGATCTTTATGAGAACTTAGGTACCACAACGCTCAACACTTCCAATTATGAGATAATACTCCCAGGAAAATTGCCAAAATTCCCCCAAAGGTGGGTATTATTTGCCTTAATACGTATTGGGTATGGAACAAAAATATTTCTTCTTAATGTTCTCGATAAGCATCCTAAACTAGCATTGACTGATGAGGTTTCAGGCTTATGTGTCTTGCCCAGATAGTATTTGGTCATTCAAAATAAGTAATTGTCAGAGTATCTTGTAATATGAAAGACTTTAGAGGAATTTAAACACAATGGGAATATTTGAAGGACAAGTTTTGGAGAGAAGCCATTCCCCTTATCTGCCATATACAATATAAATACTTCAGTGCTCTTTGTTTTTAAATGTTTATTCATTTTTGAGAGAGAGTGTGAGTGGGGGAGGGGCAGAGAAAGAGGGGGACTGAGGATCTGAAGCGGGCTCTGTGCTGACAGCAGCAAGCCCGATGTGGGGCTCGAACTCACGAACCGTGAGATCATGACCTGAGCTAAAGTCGGAAGTTCAACCAAGCCACCCCAGTGCCCTGCTTTAGTGCTTTTTAATCCACTGTGACTTATTTCCGCACTCAAGGGTTTTTCCTTTTTACGTCAGTCAGGTCCTGCCCTTTGATCCAATCCTAGCTTGGGCCTTTGTATATACTCTTTATATATACCATGGTTTTTGACTAGACCTACATTATTCAACCGCAGTAATTGTGTGTACTGTGTTTATACGAGAGGAAAAGAGAGCGCTCATTATTGTTGAATACTTTGTATTTTCCAGGTATCAGTTTATTCACTTTACACACATAACCTCTAATCGTCACAATTGCATATATCCCCACCTTACAAACGAGGAAGCTCGGGATCATACTGGTTAAACACTTTGCCGAAGATCGTCGCGTTTATACATCCTGAAGCTGGCACTTAAAAACACTTCTGTGGTGTTGCCTGTAAATCCTGATTGTCTGCATTTAGGACTTCTTATGTAAAATGAGACCGTACGCAGCCTTTCATAAATAAAGCTTAGTTCATAAAATTGTCTTATTATACATATGTTTTCTTCCCAGCCATATTACTCCACCTTGAAATTGCAGTTATTTGTGTCTTCCGGCCTCCCTGCTATGGTGGGTTGAGGAATGAGAGCTCCGCTATTTAAGGAAAGTGCAGAAGTCCCTGAGAAGGAATGATCACAGATGTAGGAGGAGGCCCGGGAGAGTAGTATCTTAAAAAGCCCAAGAATGGCGAGAGTTTTAAAAGTGAAGGCGTGCCAGGAGAATCATTCACAAAACGGAGGTCAAGCAGAGGAGACTAAGGGTGTATTGTCTTGGTGAGCCTCCAGACAGGCTCCAGCTGATGGCGGGGTCAGAAACCTGACTGCAGCCATTGGAGACGCCATGGTTGATGATGTAGAAGGATATCATCTCTTATTTGAGGATCTTGACTATGCTGGGCCTGAGGAATAGTGGTAGCAGATACAGGGGGAAGAGTGGGCAGGGGAAGCCTTCTAAAATTAACCGGTATCATTTTGAGGGGCTCGGTCAGTTAAGTGTCCGGTTTTGGCTCAAGTCATGATCTTGCGGTTCATGGGTTTGAGCCCTGCGTTGGGTTCCGTGCTGGAGCCTGGAGCCTGGAGCCTGCTTCCGATTCCCCCACCCTCTGTCTCTCTCTCAAAAATAAATAAGTGTTAAAAAATTAATTTGAAATAACTGGTATCATTTTGAGAAGCCGACAGTGGCAGCGGCACAGGTTGGGATGATTTAGGACTGGGGATTTCTGGAGCCAGTAGGGGACAGGGGGATAAAGACGAGGTGTTGGCACAGCGACCAGCCAGTGGTGAGAGGTATGCCACAGGGCCCGAGCTTGAGAAAGCAAGATGCCGAGCCTGAGGGGGACGACAACCTGGAAGGAAAGGGGCACTGATCTCAGACAGATTAAGAAAAAAATCAACAAGTGGAACAGAAGTGAATGAATGAAGGATCTTGTGGTCTAGGAAATTGGGTTAGGGAGCAGGCCTCTTGATTGTCTCCTATCAGTTGTGAGCCATGGATGGCAAGACCCAGGATCCGCAGCAGAATTTATTTGAATAAGCATGTGAATTACGAGTTTGTTTCTTGGTTTAAGAGTTGGATGTCGCGGTCTGCTGTGTTCGTGTTAGGATTCGGTGAAGGAGAGCGAAGGGAATCAGGAGATGTGCGCTGTGGACAGTCAGTGGGGTGGCGGCCTGGGGGTTGGTAGATGAGCCGTACAGGGCCGAATACGTGCGGCATGAATCTCAGAGGAGGGAGTGTCAGGGGCCCAGAGGAGCAGGGGCCAGCTAGGAGAAAGTTCTTCGCTCTCCCACTCCACCCCCCTGGTAAGTGACGGATGGCACGGGATGCTTCTTCCATTGCAGGGGGTTGTGGTGAGGGGGTCGCAGTGACCCCCCCCGCCCAGCCCCACCCCTGCAGATTTCCCTGAGGGAAGCGCTGAGGGGAGTGTCCTGGCCTGCACTGCTGTGACAGCTCAGCTGACAATCCTTCCCATTGTTTCCAAGAAGAAAAAACCATCTTAATAAAGAAATTAAGTGGGGCTTGAGAGCTAACCTGAAGGGGCCTGAGGATGCCTCAGAGGAGTCCTTCGGGGACATGGTAATGTCTTAGTCCCTTGTTTATGAAGAGCGTGTGGAATGCCTCGCAAACACGTAAAAGCAGTACTCTGTGGATGTCTGGTTCCCTGCTGGTGACATCAGGTTTTTACAAGCCAAGGGCAACAGTCAGCATATGCCCTTCCAGTGGAATGAGTGCCACGTTTGTTGGCTCATTCGTTCATTCATTGAATATTTACTTGCACACCTGCTCTGCCCTGGTGCCGTATCAGGTGCTAGGCCTGTAGTAGTGACCTGCCTACAGGCAGGCCCTACTTTGAAGGAGTCTCCAATTTCATAACTTGAAGAAAACCCTCATATGACGAATTACATCAAAAATGTCCACCACATTTTTTTCTAAGTTAAACACATCCTAGTTGACTTAACTTCAAAATTCTAAAATGAGCCACAAAAATATTAGAAAATCATTTGGTATCTGTTTAGTCGTGTTAAACAAGGTCTTTATTTCTTTCTGGCACCACACCACTTATTTCTCTAAATAATAATTGATATAAACAAGATACGCTATATATCAGAAAGCAAAACTAACAGGTTGAAGAACGGGAATTCTTGTTTTTTTGCTTAATGTCTCCAAGAATCACTATGTTTAATAGCAGTTAACCTTCTAAATAAAAGGGGGGGGGGAGCACTAAGAAATGAACATAAAAAATGAATAGGTTACTCGCAAAAGAAGAAATATAAACGGCTATTAAGTAAATGAAGAAAAAAGTATTAACTTTAATTGAAGGAATATAACTATAAAAGGCAGCCGGGTGCAAACTCTCGCCCATCATATTCCCGAAGGTTTTGTGCAACTTCGCACTGAACGTCAAGGAAGTAGAAGGACCCCGCCCCCGTGGGGGCAGCTTGGAAGTGCACACCAGAGCCTCTGTGGTCTGTGCCTCTCACACAGCGTTTGCACTCAAGGCACTTATTCTAAGGAAATAGTCGAGCCATGCACCGAGTTTTAATTCGTAGGTCATCGTTAGGGTTTTGTTCGTCATAGTGAAAAATCAATGAAAACAAAGCAGTCCCCGCCAATGAACTTCAGCTACACCCCCTCTCCCATCCATCTGCGCCTGCCGTCTATTTAAATCTGACCCTCCTTCGGGCCAGCCCAAGTTGATCCTCTCAAGCAGACGTTCGCAGCTGGCACAGGGCCTGTCAATTCCCCCATCTTCTCAGTTCCTGTAGCTGTTTCTGTCTGAACCTTCATTTTTGGTAGTCAATTGTGTATGGCCTCTCGTGGTAACTTTAACATTGGCATTCTGCGTCTTTCACTCACCAGCGTGGGTGAAGTGTGTGTTCATGAATCCTCCCCTCGGGGACTCCTGTAAGTGGACTGTGTGTTCCTGGAGCCCCCGGAGCCCACCCCTAGGCATGAACCCAGAGTGGATAGGCCCTTCGTTGAGCAATTGAATGACGGGAGGTATGAGGAATGACCGGTTGATGGGGGTCCTGAGTTGGCACTTACAGTGCCACCGGAAGTCTTCTCTGCCACATACGGTGAGCTGGACCCTCTGCCCAGTGTTGTCAGCGCACCTGCAGACTCCCCTCCTGTACAGGTGCTGCTTTGTTAGCTTCCTCAAACACAGGTCCTCTCCATTCCCCTGTCCCACACATGGCTAGGGACTGCAAATAACCACTGCCTGCAAATAAACGCATACTTCACGGTCGGGAAGATCCCCTGCCCCAGCGCACAGGCCTGCCTCACTGCTCTTATCTCCCAAGCTTCTGATCTGACCCTCCCAAGTAGTTGCTATTTCCCAAACACCCTGTGCCAGGATTTTCTTTATTAATATATGTCTGTTTATCTGTCACCTATCAATATATACACACAGACACACATATACACACACACGCACAATGGAATATTATTCAGCCATAAGAAAGGAAGGGCACCTGGGTGGCTCAGTCGGATGAACGTCCAACTGTTGATTTCAGTGCTCAGGTCATGATCTTATGGTCATGAGATCAAGCCCCATGTCAGGCTCCACGCTGGGCATGGAGCCTGCTTAGGTTTTGCTCGCTCGCTCTCTCCCTCTGCCCCTCCCTTGCTCACTCATGCTCTCTTTCAAAAAAAAAAAAAAGGGGGG